GCTGGTGTGATTCATATATTCCTACTCGCCAGTTTAAGCAGGACGACCTTTATGGTGACGAGAATCTCGCAGGCTCTGAATCCCAGTCCTAGAATGCTGGTCATGCTACAAGTATTTAATAACTCCCTGGAACCTGATAGTTTGTGAAGTAATTTTGTGGTAAATATGGACACAAAGAGATCTCATTCAGCTGCCCGATGACAGTTATATTAGTGAGCGCAGTGACGAGTTCAGACATTTAGAAACTTGTTTTTCACAGTTTTGAGGATAATCAGTGGGGTTTTTTATAACTCAGATTGAACAAATCAGGCTCAAAATGGACGTCATTGTATGATTAAAACTGATGAAGTGGATTATCGGCTGTCTTAAGTAGGGATTTGTCTCTTGTTCCAGTGCTTTGAGTATGTTTTATTCTCCTTGTTTATGTACTAATAGTCCACATTATTGCACCTTAATTTTCTCATGGATGATGGTGACATAACATAACAATACATACCAATACAATATCACAAAATATAAAGTCAAGACTTCAGTCTCATACTTGAGTATTCTTTCTTGGGTTAAAAAGTATACACACACACACACACACACACACACACACACACACATATATGTATATATATATATAATAAATTTTTTTTTTTTTGGACCCATTGCATTTGTTGGGGCCTGTTGCACATCTGCCCACATATGCTTCAACCTGATTTGCGTTTTCTTTTTTCTAAACCAGAAAATCATTTGATAAGCAGTGGTCCCTCTGTCATATAATCTACACTTACATGATTATCATGAAAACAGAACGGAAAAAAAACTCAAAGATCAACTGCAGTCATGTCATCTGCAGCAGGGACTTTAAAAACCTCTAAATGGGAAATAATTAGCTGGAAGGTGCTGACAGGAGACATCCATTTCTGGTTTTCATTCACAATGGCACACTTATGTTTATGATCAAAATGTTAGACCATTCATCATTCCTCATTTGTGACAATCTTAGCTCAGCTGAACTCATCATGAACCTGGACTTTCAGGTGCATACACAGGGACCGGTGCAGCATACCAGAATTTTGATTTTGTTACATATGTACATATTAGCAACTGGTAGAAAACCTTGTTATGTTGTCTTCGCTGGACTGTCATTGGGAGCAGGTTTTGGAGGGAGTTAGAAATAAATACGGGAGTGATACAGCTACGGGTGTCAGTTTTTGGT